CCGTCCTTCCTTCCTTCCTTCCTTCCTTCCTTCCTTCCTTCCTTCCTTCCTTCCTTCCTTCCTTCCTTCCTTCCCTCCCTCCCTCCCAAGATTAAATGTGGTGCTGAGACTTTACTGTAACAGATATGTCCATGTTTTTGATCCAGTACTGCACAGTATCTCGTGCTGAATGAGAAGGTAGCAGACACCACGAAGTTCACTGGTTGCTTTTGGGCTACCAGACTATTTCTCAGTCTATCTTACAGGATTATAGTGAGGATCAGGAAACAGGGAAAATTAATGATCCCGGCCCTCAACTTTCCAAATGAAGACAGGCTATTCTCACTGTTTAAAACTAGTAAGATCATCAGGAGCCATTTTGTTCCATTCCCTCTACTCAGCAGGCAATTCATTGGCCCTGCTCATATTCAGAAAATACTTCATTGGAATGCAAAGCTCAGGCAGGGAGGCAGAAAGTTAGTTTTAACCCAAGTCAGGTCAGGTCTACTGTGTTATGAGAACATCACAACCCAGTTTCCAGACTTGTTCAGTCAGGCCTTTAAGAAAAAGTGGTGGTGATACAGAGCGACTGAAAAGCAAGCCTCACCAATACAGAATTGACTGCCAAGACCTGACACCAGAGAACACCGTTCCCTAAAACTGATAAGCAAACAGTTAATATTGCAAGCAGAATAAATCATCAACAGTGCAATAAAATAAAGACAAATATTTATTTTGGACTTTTCTTAACACATATAGAAAGAACAAATTAAAAAAAAAAAGCTGCCGGTGGGATCCAAAGCACAAAATACATATTTTGCCATGTAAAATTTTTAATCAGTCTCATTTTCTAAATCTGAACTATCACTGTTCACAGTTTCTAATTATTCTAATTTTTAATCATTTTCATGTACTTCTGGAAACAGAAAAGTAAGCCTATGTTGAAAAAAGCTTATTTACCCTTTTACATCTTATTTTTTATTTAATAGACTTCCAAACATAAGCACATTCTTTCATATGTTAACTGTTTTGTATTCCTTTAAAACAGTATTAGAAATATTACCTTGCAATTCTTTTTTTCAAAAGGCATTCAAAAAAGGTACTAGAAAAAAATAATGTATTTTTTCCCGAAATGCCTGGGTTTTCTCCCAGCCATCACATCTCTACACTCACTATCCAATATCTTTTGTTTTCCACTCAAACACCATTTAACCTAGGATATAATTATATTTCAAATGTCACATTGCTACAACACAAGACATTGATTCATCACAGCAGCATTTTTAGTAGCTTTGCTATAGCATCTAGCTCCAGAGTACTAGGGATCTAACGTGCTTAAAAAGGGAAAACATATGTTTAAGTCAGGCAAATATTCTTACTTCTTCTACAGCGATGCCTGCTTAATAATTATGCCTTTTTAAAGACAAATTGCAGCTACTCCACCTAGAATTCCTAACTTGATCCCCACCTTCCCAGACCATCACTTTTATCTCTTCCCCTTTCAGCCCACAAGACAAAAAGGAGGATAATGTTTAAAAATGGCTTTATACCTCTACTGCAGGTCAAATGCACTTATTAATAATAAAAAACAGCAGCAACATTTCTCAACAGACTGACTGAATATATGAATCTGCAGATCCAGCTTCCTCCTAAACCTATCCCCTCCCTCTTCTGATACGGTCACAAGCAAAAAATAAGCGTTTGCTTCCTCTTTCAATTAATGATGTTTAGAACTACATCTAAGTTTTCAACTATGGTCGCTATGATTTATTGGAAATATATTTAGTTATTATATTTATACCCTGCTGCAATCCTGAAGGACTCTCAGCGGTTTACAAGAACATCTATGGCTGACATAAAGCACGTAAAAATAAACCTTGATCATGGCATCACCCCAAATACCCTCTAGAAGTGCTTTGTTTCCTCAGCCTTAGCCTCCATCTCCTCTTGAAAGTGGGGAACAAGGCCCTATTGATCTAAACCTTGGTTGGAAGTTGATTTGTTCCTCCAAACTACTTATTGCTAATCACAGTCTGCCCAAGTTCAGGGAGAGATAATGATTCATTTCTACTTTTCAGTGAAGACTCCAAATTACTCCTGTGCAACTGAGCCAGAGTAGGAAAGGAGAAAGGCCTGGGGAACTAGGAAGCCCAAAGGTTTGATAAAAGATTCATAAACTATACATTTATGCTACTATTCATTCTAAAGATACAAATAAAACTTTTGCATTTGAGTATGAATCTAGAATTTTCCTTAAAAAAAACACATAATTTAAACTGACATTCTTCTTTAGCAAACACTGTTGTATAAAAAATGAGCAGCTGTAAAAGGTGCTGATTCATCCAATTAGCACTTCCACAAATCTCCAACTGTTCTTTAAGTCTATTACCAGCCATGTATGCTGCTGTGTGGAGTCCATGACCATTGATGCATATTTATGATGGATTTCTTTTCACATATAAAAGCTTGCTTATTATAGCAACCTTACCTTGCTATAGTAGGAAATAGCCTCTTTGTACTTCTCAATGATGTCTTCAGGGCTCAGACAATTCTTAGCTCGTCCTATTTCAGTACTTGTATCTGCATTGATGCCGTTTGACGTGAGGGCCCCTGCATTGGATTGAAGCAGGAAATTTCAGCTTAACCACGACTCCCAGGTCAGAATAAAACAAAAATGTTTCGGAAATCCTTTCTAGCTAAAAAGAAAGTTTGAGCAAGGAACAAATGGATGAATTCAAAATGTAGACAAAATGGCAGAGGTCTGGAGATTCTTCGAAATTTACTGCGTCATGCATTGTAGTTTTCTTACAAAAACTGTTTGAATTAAAGCTGGAAAGAATATATATTGTTTCACAAGCATATCGGAAAAAAATTCTGGCAAAATTAATAAATTGATACTGAACTCTTATATTCTGTACATATTAACATCACTTAATTATATTATCACTTAATATAAAATTTTGGAAGATATTCTCACAGCCACTGCAAGTTACTTAAGAAAATGACTCACGGCATTTTAAATGAATTTACTACCATAAAAATTACAACAAAAAGTTGTAAATGAACAGGTGCTGAAAGAAAAGCAAGTTATTTGTACAAAAGAAGTATACTGATTTGGTCATACTGAGGATCAAATTGCAAAGCAACATATGAAGGAAGGAGGAATAGGTCAAGAGAAAGACCAAACAAGGTGTGCTTAGATGCACTGATGAGATTCTCAAAAAGAGATGAGAATTTTAAATTAAAACAAAAAACAAAGGCTGCATGGGTGTTGAGAAAGCAAGATGGTTTGCAAGGATATGAGTACAGAGAGATAAAATGAGGGGTGCTGGTATAAACTAGACCTTTCCTTTCATTTCTAATTCTCCTGTCTTTAATTTATTTTGCTCACTCTCTCTCACTCTTTTTCTGTATTTTTATAATACTGTTTATCCCAAAAGAGAATAGCATGATGAGTCTATATGGCTTACTAACAGTTCTTGTGGGAAAAAAAATATCTTGGAATAATGGTTGATTTTCAAGTGAATGTTAATCAGCAGTATGATGGTTGCAAAAACCAGAGAAATGCATGTATAAACGGCATCAACCAAAGTATAATTTCTAAATAACAGAAAGTTTTTAAAAAAGTATCCTTCAAATCAAAACTGACTCCTGGGTACTTCCTAGACAGACCCAAGCACCTTCCTCTGCATAAGGATGGATATGATTGGCCTATAACTTCTTCTAGCCTACAGTACATACAGTTAAACAGTTCTGAAACATATGCATTTTATTTTTAAACCACAAAAACCTGAAAATAGTCGAGATGGTCGACTTCGCCATCTTGTACTCCAAGGCCAGATCAGTCA